TAGTAGGGATAATGAAACTTCTACCTGTAAAAGATTTTTCCATTTATGAAGCATGATTGTTTTTTCAGAAGTGACTCATAAAGAGTCACTGCATTTATTGTGGCTGATCCATCCCATGTCACTACCCATCCATGAGAACAGAAGCCTGAGACATATATGCAGATACCGGATCATGCAACCTTCCTGGGTGTCTGTCCCCTGCCTGTTGTTTCCACCGTGACTCATCATGTCCTTGCCCCACATTTTCGTCTCTGGCACTGAGGTGTCTTTGTTTACTTATCCCAACTTGGGTCAGGAGTGTTTCTTTCTTCAGGATACAGGATCTGATCTGCCTCCCTTTTCTCCTTCTCAGCCTCGTCTTCCAATTCTCTTTGCCCAAGGCTGACCACACTCCTTCATTCTCAAGAACACACAGCTTATCTATTTTCCGTGTTTAACACAGCCAAAGGCTTTTAAAGATAATGACAATCTTTCAACTGCAATTTGGAGTTGCAAAGAATTTGCGAGATTTGCTGGCACAGGGAGTTACAGGAATGTTCTTCTAGCACTTCGTGGTCTGGATTCCCTGGAGGGTTAGGAATAGACAGGAAACAAGTCATGTGAAAATAATTATACTATATCATGGGTGGTAGAGGCTGTTTTCGGAATGAGGAGGAGAAGCATTATATAATTTTTGCAGAAGAGGTGACAGTTGGATCCTGAAGGATGGTCAGAAGTGCAGTAACAGCCTAGACTGACAGTGAAGGTTATGCGATGCAGGAAGAGAACATTATGTGCAAAGAAAGGGAAGCATGAGAGAGCATACCCTTTTGGATGTTGTATAGGTCAGCCCTTGCCCACAGATGGGCAAGTTGACTTAGCTGGTTTGGCTGGCTGAGCAGGTACCCCTTCCCTGCACCACGTGTATCCTTCTGAGCCTGCTGTCTTCCAAACCCTCAGGAAATCAATCATGCTGTCAAGATTAGAGAGATAGCATGGTTTGCCACTAAGCACATGCAGAGCAAGACCTTAAGTATAGCTGAAGCATTCAATGTGTGCATGAAAGGTAGCAAGAAGTAGAGGGGAGAAAAGACAGGTGGTAAATAATAGTGGAAGGATCCTTATGTCCAGGCCCTGGGTTCTTTTTGTATCTTGTGGTGCAGCTCTAGGAAGTAAGCCTAGTGCCAGGTGTGACTGTGGGGAACTGAAGCAAGCATGTGAATTGCTATGCTCATCCATCAGTGGCAGTGACTTCTAGGAACCAGATCAGCTGGCACCTTCATCTTGGACTTCCCAGCCTCCAAAAACTGTGAGAAATAAATGTTTGTCATTTAAGCCATCCAGTCCATGGTACTTTCCTATAGCAGCCCAAACTGCCGCAGACAATAAGGAATCCTGAAGGAGTGGCAGGTTTGCAGGAGACCATAAAATCCTGATTCAAATCTACTGCATTTCAGAGGCGGAGAGGACCAGAGGCCAAGAGATATGCTGATCTGAAGCTTAATTGCGATTCAGTGTTGATGAAGGTACAAAGAATAGATACTTTATTAAGGGGACATTCTTCATTCTGTTTAACCAATATTTTTTCAGGCCCTGGTTAGGTACTGTGGCACATGCAAAGAAAAATGATGTCTAACTTCCCACCTTAAGGAGTGTTTTTATTATGGCCATGGTCTTAGGTTCAACATGTATGAAAAGTGTTTCCAAAAATTATCGCTGAAGTAAGGTGTAAAATTTATGTTTATGAGTTTAGGTCTGTTTCCCTGGCACTCTCTGAGGCTTGACATAAATACGTCCCTCTTCTTTCTTTTTTTCTTCATTTTGAAAGTTTTGTTTTTTTTTGCATGTTGGTTAACTATTTTTAGCTAAATACACACACATGCATGCACACTGCTACAAGCTTATGAAGGGTGTAGTGAATATTTTTTAAATGCTTGATATATTTAAGAAAATATTGAAAACAATTCAGTAAATAAACATTCTAAAGCATATGAATTTGTGTAAAGAACTAACTGTAGGATGCAATACTTGCTTTTGGAAATTAAAATTTGGAATAAAAAATAAAATTTAAAAGGTTGAGTTTAATATGCATGTTAAAAGTGCTGAAATGAACTATCATAAAGAACAGAGGAACAGTAATTTAAAGCAAATAATGGTGTCTCAGTTCACCAGGAATTTACATATTTTGCCAATATTTAACGTAATCTCATAGAAGATTCTCTTCTAAAGTATGAGATTTATTCAGTGGATTCACATAGAGAATTTATCTTGAGTCTGTTTATTTAATTTAAAATTTTTTAAGTTCAATTTCTCTTTAGTCACATTTTAGCCAGTGGAATGCAGGTAACGCATTTTGTTCTTCTTTTCCCAGAAACTGATGTGTTTATTCTTTTATGGACTCAGAGGGACTTTTTAAATTAACTTCAATTTTTATGGCCTTCTTTCCATATCCCATGTGTGAATTTACTGTGGAGACTGATGAATGATGGAACTAACTTCAGCAGCCTTCCTTCTGAATTGCTTTGCTTGGGTGGGTATAGAAAACCTTTGGCAATGTATTTCAGACCTGAGTCTTAGCACTTAAGGGAAACTTTTTTAGAACAAGCCAGGATATGAATCAATATGAAGGGGGAACTTGAACACAAAACACACTTCTAAAAAAATTCATTGAAAATTTGAAAGCTTTTTCAGTTAAGGGTATATGACTGCAGTTCATCTCCCTTTTTTATGAGTTTTCTTTTTTAAAGTACTGATTTTATTAGTGCTCAAGGTAGAGCTCTAAGTAAAATTACAATCCTAAAACCTTTTGGTCAATGGTTGTAATTAATATAATTAATACTTTAGAAAAACATCATGGGTTGTAATGGAAGTAAATCATCTGGGTCTAAAGAATACCTACTGAGGGCAGCCCTGTTAAGAATAATTCTGAGGAAATAAGCTAATTTCCTGGACTTGCAAAGCAGCAAAAGGAATGTTTTTCTTCCTCATAGGCCTGTGGGGTTTGGTGTTTGACCCTGTCCAGATCCAAGGGGGCTATCAGGGCTGATTAACATATATATATACATACATATATATATATATGTAATCAAAGTATACTAGCTAGAAAGGCAGAGACGATTTTATTTGGTTCTGTACTGTGAAATAATGTATGTCTGCATTATTTACGGGTGTGTGTGTGTGTGTGTGTGTGTGTGTGTGTGTGTGGAGAGCAGGAGGTCTCGTTTCCCTGGTCATCACCCTGCTGTCTTCTTTAGGGTTACTGCTTCCTATCCTAGCCGACCCCAAAGAGTAAACAAGCTTTTCCTAGCATTCAAACTAGGTTTTCCTTCTGTTCAAATCACCATTTTAAAGCCACATTTTTTATCACATGGTAAGAAACACTATGAATAATTAAGGTGATCCATCAAGAGCCCCATTCTTGATATTGAAAAATTGCATAACTCAGTAGAAGTCAATTAAAAACCACAAACTTCAGAACCCTTTGCACAGTGAAGATTTATTATAGAAGGAATTTAATACAATAGATTTGAGGGGTCAAAATTTTTTAAAGTTCTAAAAATTCAGTTAAAGCTTGACAATGACCTTGAGTAATAATATTTACATAATATCAAAGTATATTAGTTCTTTGAAATGAAAAGGATTTTTTTTCTTTCTTTAGCATGAGATGTCTGACACGTTCGGGATTTTATAACTACATCTGAAACAACATCCCACTGTGGGATACTTTTTTTTCTTTTTCCTTTCCCTGTGAAGGTTTTAAATGGCTCTTACTCTTTGGTTGTGCCTATACAATGAAAAGTAGAAAAATGAAATGAGAGAAGTCAGGATATTTTCCTCTGTTCAACCAAATACCTGAACAAGTAGAACTTGCTAGATAAATAACTCAAAATGTCTTTGTTATCTGGTTGCTTGGTTAGGACACAGCCAACATTTTAATAGAATGTAGTAACTTATACAACTGCATATAATTTTAAAAAAATAAACAATGACTTTGTTTCTTTAGAGACATCCAACGCTGCTTTAAAGAGCCTAAGGGGAAAATACCAATTCTCTAAAATGTAATTATCTGTAACATTTTTCTTCCCTTTTAGGGTTTTTCATGTCCAAAATAGAAAATTAACAAAAGAGCAACATCTATCTTCAAAAACCAAATATTTATCTATGTATTTTGAGGTTCAGAATCTTTGCAGCCTAAGCTTAAAGTAAGGCTAAAGACTAAGGTAGGGTCAGCAGTCAAGCTGACAGATGACTACCTCCAACCAACAGCACACATGTGACTTGCTTCCTACTGAAATTAAACTGCCAAATAAAAAGGAGGAATTGTCCCCTTTTTTATAACGAAGAATGCAATCATTAGAATTCTTCAGATTTGGAATTCCACCAGTGTTCTTCTGTTTTCCTCTTGATATGTGACAAGAATGAGTAATACCAAAAATAAAAATAAACCTCAAAAAAAAATCCCCCAAACCAAGCAGTCCTTTGACTTTATAAGGCTCAACATCAAATACAACAAATTCTAAAAATACCTAAGACCAGTGAAATGTCAAAACTGAGGGGATAACATGCTGGGGATAGGACAGATTTTTAAAACCTTTCAATTTATTTAAACCTACTAGTATTAACTTTGTTCATTTCTGTTGAGACATTACCATTTCCACTGACTACTAGGGACCATATTTCATATTCCTATACATATTTGACTTTGACCTCATAAAAAGTCTCTTGGGTCTATAATACTTTTATTCTTGTATAATCTGAAACAAATCCTTTCCTTTTAAAAATCAAACAGACCACGTTATACACACAGTTGACTATTTACAAAGCACCCAATTAAATCCTACTTAATTCTCTCTCACTCTAAAAATTCCATCTAACTGGTGCGTAAAGTACTTATCACATTAAATGCACAATGTTCGCAAGCCCTGATGGTCCTATCTCACCTAGAAAATATTACCTTCCTTAGAAAAGAAAGTCTTCAAAGTGTGAGGTTTTAAGAAATGAGACCAGAAATCACAGTACAAGACAGATAAATCTACTTTAATATTCACATGTAAAAGTTACACATCACAAGAGATTGGACAGTAGTTTACCAGTAACTAACATAGCTATAGTGAAAATCATTTTTATAAAAAAATAATCTAGATGTGGTCATCAGAATTTTTGGTCTACTTAAGTTAATGTTTGAAGATCAACTTTTATCCCTGCTTGAAGGATTTGCCACTATGCCTTTTTCTTTTCTCTCTCACTGTTGCCTATTAATATTCTTTGGAGGAAGGAAAGCAGAAAGTGTTCATTTCCAAGAGGTTGTCCTTTGGTAGCAAGCAGAGAACATTTTTCATTTCTATGATTTTAAATAATCTGTACAAACATGAAACTTCAGTAACATTAGGCTTTAGTGTAAAATGAAGAATGATAAGCATTTTTTTTCACTTTGATAAAACAGTAGATTTCATAAACTCCTTAAGGATCCAAGCATTTCCCCATCCCATATGCAAAATCATTCAGAATCCACGTTGACTTCAATCAAAAAACAAACAACAAACACCAACTCTTTATGTATTACACTAGCGAACCCTGTACTTAAAAACTGGTATTTCTCCAACATGTATGCTTCAAATACAAAGATTTCGATCTAGGTTAAAGAAAAGACATTGGAATGGACTCAGGACAAGTTTATTTTGTGATTAAACATTTCATGCAGTCATGCAGGACCTCTAGCTATAACTGTTACTTCCGATTCTACACGGTACTTTGCAAAACAAAAACAAATTAAAAGCCAAGCCAAACAGAAAGACATTCAAGATATCAAGAGCTCTGCAATTGAGCTGAAAAATAATTTTTCAAAAGAAATAATTCCATAGATTTAAAAAAGACACATATTTACAAAAAATATTTAATTAAAAATATCTTAATTACAGTAGTCTATTAAAGCATATACTTTCTCACACTTATAGAACATCTCTATATATACATGTATGAAATGTCACTCAGTTATCTATACAATATGTAACATTCTTGCAGGGAAAAGAAAGTTCCCTGCCCCGTTTTAATCATCTATTTTAAACAATAGATGTAAAAAAAAAAAATATCTACAATGCTCTGGTATATTAGTAAAGCTTCAAAACAAAAAATTGAGCTCCTTGGTCACAAGTAGGCTTCTAAAGTCGTATTTACTCTTGATCTTCTATTTATCAGTCCTGTTACACTTAAGCTTAAAAGTTTAACTGCACCTCAAAAAACACAGAAATGTACAATTCACAGCGGTTATAAATGAAGAGACAAAAGAGAATATGGATGTAGACTGCTTATGAACGTGCAAAACAAACCCCCAAAAGATGAAAGTTTTATTTTTCTTTCCTTTCGCTCTTGGAATGACGGGTGAAAACGTTTCTAGGATTTGCTGATGTTTTCTCCTTTCCTCCGGTGCCTTTTTGCTCTAAGTTCTGCTCTTCCCCCTCCCTCTCTAGTCTCCTGGCTCGGGCTCAGGCGACCGCACACCTGTGGAAGAGGAATGAATAGAGGGGGTGTGGGAACCTTCCCGCTGCAGACTAACTGGCGCCACCGACCAAACTCAAGACATGCTTGATCAACAACCCAAAACAAACCACCGGGTCAGACAACACCCGCAGCCCGCGGCCGGCCAGGCGCCGATCAGACAGCTGCGGGCCCCCGGGAAGCCGGGAGAGGGGACACACTCCCGGACCCTGCCTGCATCCCCCTTTCTGGGTGTGAGACCGCGCGGGGATACTTCGGCCAGTTTCCACGCCCTCAGCGGGAAGCAGGGCAGTTAGTGTCCGCAGTCATTGGAGGAGGCCTGGGGGTGGCAGGGACAGGAGCTGATGTGTCCCCATTTAGAGTGAAGCCCCAGTTGCTAAAGCGAAGTTACGGGTTCACCTGCTAACTGGCTGGCGGAGAGATAAGAGAGAGAGAGAGAGGGGCAGGGGATCGTCTGCCTCCTTGGGAGTTTGCCCTCTGAAATGCTGGAGGCAAAGAACACTGCGGTGCCTGGCACCGGAAGCCCCGGAGGACGGGCGTCTCTGGTGATCCGCCACTCGAGAAGGGGAAGGCGCGCTCACCTGGACAGCGCGGCTCAGCGGCACAGAATGCTGTCGCCCTGCTTGTTCACCGCGCCGGCCTGGAACAGCAACGGAACACCAAGGGAAAGGTTAGCAGGCGCAAACACCGCACTCGTCCCTGTCCTGGATTCGTTCTGGGAAACCATGCTGGCCCGCGGATGCTCCCACCCCAGCCTGCAGCCCTGGGGACCCCTCCCCTCACCCGCCCCGGGGGAACAGGCTGGACTTGACAGGCCAGGATGCGCCCAACCCCAGTCCCACCCTGAACGTTCACCCTGACCCGCGCTCGTTGCGCCCAGCCAGCTTCTGGCGGCCTCGGGCGCCCGGAGAAGGGGGGTCGGGGGTGCTGTCATTCTTGAGTGCCCCGGCCCCGAAGAAGAGGAGAACCGCGGCCGGCCACCCAGTCACCGCCCCTCCTGGACCCCCTCGGCGTCCGCCCGGGCCGGCGCCGGGCCTCTCACCGGGTCGGTGTTGAGCGCTGTGAGCGGGGTCCGTGGCGGCGCTGCCGGACAGGTCCCGGCCGAGTGGTGCGGTGGCGCCGGCGGGGGCGGCTGCCTCAGCAGAGCCGGGTGCGTCTCCAGGGCCAGCTGCAGGTCCAGGATGTAGTCGATAACGTGCTGCAGGATCTCCACTTTGCTGACTTTCTTGTTGGGCGGGATGGTGGGCACCAGCCTTCGTAGGCGGCTGTAGCAGTCGTTCATATCGCACTGCAGGCAGAGCGCTGGCTCCTCGGCCGCCGCCTCGGCCGCCTTGCAGCGTGCGGCCGCAGCAGCCGCCGCCGCAGCCGCCGAGCCGCCCAGGCTGTGGCCGTGCTCGGCCAGGCAGCGCAGCGCCAGCTCCCCGCCGCCGCAGCCCGACGGCGCCTTGCGGCCCGAGGGGCGCACCGGGCTCACCGCCTTCATCGCGCGCGCCCTGCGCCCTGCGCAAGCGGACCCGCTAGGGCGAACGAAAGAGGCAGGCAAGCGCCGGGCCCCTGCCCGCGGCCGGCTTCACTCTCCTTTCCTTCGCGATTTGCGCGGTCGGTCCGCGCTCCAGGCACCGCGAAGCTCCCAACGATCGCGCCCCCAACAATTGACTGAGGGTCGCTCCGGGTTTTGCGAGGGGATCTCTGCTCAGTGGGCGACACTCGGCTGGGACCAAAAGGAAAGAAAATTCAAAAAGCACCCGAAGGAAAGCTGCCCACCGGGGTCTCTAGTCACTCCCTTTGGAGCTCCGACTATAGCCTAGCAGTCACCGCGCTCCCGCACGCCCGAGCGTTCCCCACTCCCAGCACAGACTCACAACTGCACCTCCTCCCTGCTTTCGCTCGGCCGTCGCGCAGCGGTATTTATAGAGCCGCGCGCCCCAGGGGCGGGGCCCGCGAGCAGGCTGGGTCCCCGCGCGAGCCCAGCGGAGCTAGGCTGGGCGGGCGGAGGGAGCCGGCGAGGGCGGAGGCTCCGGGCAGTGCTTGGGGGGCGGGGAGCCGGGCTGCCCGAGCGGAGGGGTGGGCGGGGGGTCGGGAGTGGCCAGCCAATCAGGCGGACGGTGCCACCTCAGGGAATGATGCCCGGGCCAATAGGAAGGGCACTCCATTCCGTCAACGCCGTAGGTCGGAGCTCTGAGAAAAGAGCCGGGTGGGAGCCGGGCCAGGCTGGTGTGTGCCCTAGGGAGGGGAAAGAGAGGGACAAGTTCCTGCGTAGAACTGCGGGAATGTGCGGCTGGAATTCATTCTCCCTCGGCTTAGGCTGCTTCAGCAGCGCTGAGCCTTCCCGGCTCGAGGATTTCCTCCCACCTCGAGTAGCGCGGCGCATGGGGACCCTCCGCCCGCCACCCATCATCACTCCATACCTGGGATTCCATTGCCTTAAGAAGGACGCTGCTCAAGAAGGCACGTTCCTTCTGTTCTGTATTTTTCCCACTCCGTTTCATTATTTGCCTTTTCACAATTGCCGAAACCATAATGATAGAGTGGAATGTGTAGTCTTTCCATTTTCTTTTAAGAAAAGATTTAAAGCTTGGGGAGGCGGGGGGGCGGGGCGAGGAAAGAATGCCGAGTGCAGTTTTTTGATGAAAAGAAATATAAATAAAAACATCATAGGGTTTTTCTTTTGCCCATCTAGATGCAAAAGTGGGCTCAAGAAATGTAATTGCCTTTAGCATTAAATTTGAGCATGTAAATATTAAAAATTCATAGGCAAGGAGTATTTAAAATTCCATCACGACATATAATGTTAATCCGTTTTATGTAAAATTCATATCTGTAACTTAATGTAGGCCATTAATGCACCTATTCGTGTATGTCAACGTTTCCCCCTTTAAATAAGATGCTGAGAATATCTAGAGTCTCCTCCTTTTGCAACAAAGCATTAAAATTCACACTTCAGTCCATGGAGTCCTGCTTGGGCCCCACCGTGCCCAAAAGTCTGCTAATTAAGGACGGTTCTGTTAGATTTCTAATGGAAAAGCTGTCCTTCAAGGGTTCAAAACAAAATTGCACAATGAACTTCGATAGGGCCTTGTGCGAACTCTTCAAGAAAAAATTGAGCCCTTCAGATGAGATATGAACATAAAAACTCTCAGTCAATGGGACATGAATTTTGAGTGCCTTCACCCTGCAAACCTCCCATCCTCAGACAAGCTAAGAGATGAATTAACTCTAGTTATCTTTATTCACGTTCATGATAGGGATTGGCACCTTCATTTTTAAAGATAATTGAACGAGATGTGGACCTCCTCTCTTCCTGTCTTCCCTCTGTTAGGAAACCCTTTCTCCTTTCTCAGAACTGACATACGTGCACCAGGCAGATGTTTTGTTTAGCCACGTGGGTACTTTATGACTATTGCACTACTAGTACTTCCCCAGAGCACATTCCTTTTTCTTGATGAAATGAGGAGTAATTATTTAATGCTGGTTTCACAGGTAGATGCAGCAACCCTCCTCTCCCATAATCCTTATACATTACTGCCTCCAATAGTTGTTTGGAAACTAGTGACATTCTCTTTTACTTACATGCATATGTAAATGGTCTACATGCACACTTAACCAATAAAAGCATGTTTATAAAACCCCAAAGAAAGGATTTTCCCCCTAAATATTGTCATAGTTTTATATATTCTTGTATTAGTATAAATATACACAGAGAGACTATCGTCATTTTAGACAAAAAGTTGGTAGAGGGAGCACTAATGGTGGTAAGCTATTATCGTAGAGCCAGTCATATCAGCACAGATGATGATAATAAATGGATATATGTATGGACACTTTGTTCCATTGATTTTTCTCTTTTCTAGACTATAAAAGCAGCTCCAAAATTTAAAACCTAAGATTTTTCTCTGTTTGGAAAAATTTAACTATGCTAATATACATTTCAAAACTTTGTGTATCCTAACTTAATTAAAATTAAAATTTATTTTAAATACTTAACACAAAGGGACAATCCTATTCCTCTTTTTGGACTTTGCTAAATCTCAGAGGGCTATGCCCTAGGTGTGGCAAGTGTCAAAAGCCTCAGTTTCAGGTTTTGTAGGAGGTGCTGTCAGTGACTGGCTTAAAATCAGGCTGACTTACTGGGGGGCGGGGGAGGGGCGGGAAGGAGGTAAGTTCCAAGGAATGTACCCTGGCCACATGAACAATAGCACCCAGGAAAAAGATGATCCTCAAATCCTGCCAGTGGAGTAGGCAAACCCAGGTATTGTATTATTCTTTTCAAAGGTTAGAAGGCATGAAAACATTAAAAATTAAAGTGCTATGTAAAATATTATACAATGTAAAAAAGAAAAATATCGTGTGCTTTTGGGTCCCTGAAACCAGAGACTATTAGGGGCTTCACAATGTATACTTTTGATTCTTAGACACGACATCAAAGCTGAAGTCACAAAAGACTTTCGGCACTGACAGCTTAAAACAGGGTTTACTCAGCAATTACCAGCTTTTGGAAAAACCTTACAAGCTACATTATTTCTACTGTGCAAAGAAGGAAATTTAGTTTCCCACGACTCTTCCTTTTACATCAAAATGCTTCCCTTGCACTTGTAAAAATAAGCTGGGCTAGCCAAAAGCCCTTTGCCACGAAAGTGCTAGAGACTACCAGAATGTTCCTCTATGGGAAGCTGGGATGAAATATTCATAGAATTGCAAGGAAGCCCTGGTGACCAGAGTCATGTGTATACCCCTCCTCCAGACAAAGAGGTCTGCAGCCCTTTCTGGGGACGCATTCTAGAGGCTAATCAGACCCTTGCTGAACTGTAACACCCAGGCTCTCAGAAGGCACAATCGCCCTGTGTTTACATGAAGTAAGGGTATCCAAGCATATTGTGCTATTCAGCGCAAATGCCTTTTTAGGACTTGATACTTCTTTCTCCATGGCTGGCAGTGAAACAGTGGGTGGGCTCAGACACACAGATAAACATGAGCGTTCCCATGCCTTCGTCTCTAGATGTACATCGTCACTGAAGGAGGCACAGGCATTCTTTCTGGGCATAAGAAACCACTATGTACTCTGCAGCAGGAATGTCTCTCGCTCCAAGAGTGAAATGGGCAATGTGGCAATTCAAGCTCAAGGTTGCTTTATCTGGCACTTAAGTGTTACAAACTTACTTGTGCTGCCCTCGGATTGCTGATGTCCCTCCAGGAAGCACTGATAACCTCTTGGCTAGCTGGGTCTTGGAAAAGGCTTGTAAGAAGGAGATGCTCATATATTGAACATAGCGAGGCAAATGTGTCCAGCAAAAATGCCTGTGTCAGGAACTTTAAAAGGTAGTCTGTTGAAATAAGAAATAGATGATTTTTAAAAAGTCCTCCTCAGACAGATTAAGGACAGAAAAATGAAAGAGGTGTCATTTGTTTTTACCTTAGAAGATGCAAAGAGAATGGGTGCAAACGTCAGACATTTTGGGTTCCAATTTTGGCTCCTAGATTTTTATCATTAAGCTGGGTTTTTAAATTCCTGTGCCTCTCATATATAGGAAAGAAGGATAAAAATTGTGTTTACTTTATAAAGTGTTCCCCTTATATATTATATATATAAGGACTTACATAAATTTCTTAGAACAGTGTCTAGCACATGGTAAGTGTATAAACAATGTTCAAATTCATTATTATTTTTGGCAAATATTATCTCAAGTCTATGACTTGTCTTTTTATTCACTTAATCTTTTGAGAGCAGAAGTTTTCAATTTTGATTGTTTTATTTATCAATTTGTTCTTCTATAGATTATGTTTTTGGTATTGTATTTATCTAAGAATTTTTGCATAACCCAAAGTAACAAAGGTGTTCTATGTTTTCACCTAGATGTGTTATGCTTTTGGGGGCTGGGTTGGTTTCATGGGCGTGCACCTTACGCAGTCACACAGGGTCCGGTGCGTAGAAGAGTCCAAGCTTGGTTTAATACTCTGCTGCTAACCGTCTTGAAATTCTCAGTAATTTTTGAACAAGGATCTTGCATTTTCATTTTGTACTGGACCTGAGAATTATGTAGCCAGTGCTGATTCTAGGTTTTATGTTTTGGTCTATGATCCATTTTGAGGTTATTTTTGTATATGATTCGATATTTGGATTGAGGTTAATATTTTTGAATGGTGGAAAGAAGGGGAAGGGACTAATCAAAGAAGACATATGAATGACCCATGGCCATGGACAACAGGGTGGGGATTGAGAGCAAAGGGGGAAACACTGGGACAACTGTAATAGAATAACAATAACATTTTTTTAAAACAAGTACAATGCACCATGATCAAGTGAGGTTTGTGCCGAAGAATATGACATTGAATGAAGATTGAAAATCAGTGTAATTTGCCTTACTAATGAACTAAAAACAAAAAGCCAAAAAAAAAAAAAAAGAAAGAAAAAGAATATGTACATCCAATTGTTCCAGCACCCTTTGTAGAAAAAACTACCCTTTTTTCATTGGATTGGCTTTGTACCATTGTTGAAAATTGTTTATGTATATGTATGAGTCTATTTCTGGCCTCTGAGTTCTATTCCATTGGTCTATTTGTCTCTTTTTATGCCACGACCATACTGTCTTGGTTACTGTAACCTTATAATAAATCTTGAAATCAGGTAATGTTGTTGACTCCAGCTTTATTTTTTTTTTCAAAGTTGTTTTCGTTATTCTGGCTATGTTGCATTTCATATAAATGTTAGAGTCTGTGAATTTCTTCAAAAAAGAATCTTTAGGTAAATAAGGTCAAATGCATGGCTACAGAAGGAGACTAGACTTTGGGTGGTGAGCACACAATGTAATATACAGAAGATGTATTACAGCATTGTACATTTGAAACATATAATGTTATTAACTAATGTCAT